GGTTTAGAAATTAAGGAAACTGCTTGGCACTATGCAGTCTGGATTTTAACAAACCCAAAATGTTTGAAAAATTGTTCAAGATGTTTTGACAAACAGAGAGTGCCACTATGTTCTCCCCTCTCTCCTGACATCAGTCTTCATCTGCCCAAGAGAAAGCAGAGTTGGGGTGTCCAGGGTCTAGAGATTAGCTAGTTTCCCAGGAAGGGCTTTTACCCATCAAATGGAATAATCCATAGTTCTTGTTTTAATATTCACTAGCTTCTTTGTTCTTCTGTAAAGTAGTAGAACTAGTTTGCTTTATTTTAAAAATGAAACAAAATAAAGCCAAGTAACTCTGAATAGTATAACGTGATGACTTTAAACACTGTGGTCATATTTTTAAAGAAAAAATACCATTCCAATTACGTGAATTGAATCTGTTTTGTTGCCTGGCCTGAGCAGCAAATGCAATAAACATGAAATGCCGCCCCCATCAGACCTACCAGTATCACCACCACCAGCAGTCTGGGATATTGACCCTCACTTGCCTGCTCAAGGAGGGTTGTGATGTTTGGCAGGAAATAGAAAGACTCCAAGAGGGCATGTGGTTGAGTAAAAAGAGCACTGAATGAGAAGTCAGAAGTCTGGGCTTCAGCCCCAAACCACTGCTGCTTGGCTGTATCATCAGGAACAAGCCAGGATATGCACAGAAAGCAGCTTCCCTCAGGGACCCCTCTCAGAAAGTATGCACGGGTAGAGAGCCTTTGAGGTAATCTCCAGTTGTGAAGCATTCTAAGATATGGTCAGGTTGTACTATTTGTATCTCCGCAGATGAGGAATATAGTTTTAAAACTTGCACTGATTGATAAATTTGGGTCACTCATTTTCTACTTTAATACAATTTTTCCAACAAACATTATCCCCTGTCTCAAGTGAGGAATATATATATATATATATATATAAAGATAGATGATAGATAGATAGATTGATATATTTAAAGATATATATATATGTCTATATACACTACAAAGTGTGCTCACTATCTCCTCTGCCTCTCACAACTCTGAAATGGATCAATGATCTTTGTCCTCAAATAATGCTCAAGGAAATTAATACTTCTCAAGGTGGGGAATTCCTCAAGGTGACAGAGCTGATAAGTGGAAAAGCTGGGGCTGAGCCCAATCTACTGGTCCCAGAATATTTTCCTTGTAACAGGGGTTGGGCATATCTAATCATCATTCTATTCTCGAAGGCTGCAAAGGGATAAAAAAAAATCATAATTTTGGAGCCTTGGAGCAACAGCAAGCCAGTAGGCTCTTTCCTGTGGTTTCAATGACCCAGAGCCATTTGGATAATTACCAGGCTGAGACTGGTGAGACCCAGCCATTCTCTGGCAACTCAGTGAAACGATACAGGAGAAACAGTTTCCATTGTCTACTCCCAATTCCCCAATCATGTCAGCAACCAAGCTCGGCTGGTTCGGGTTTTCTCATGGCAATCAGAGTGGATTTCAAGATTTAAAAGCCAAGTTCATGCCAGAGAACAAATGGCCACACCTTCCTCTCGTTGTTTTATATGTTTTGTGAACTCTTTCTGTAACCATGAAATTAGGAAGCTGTAAGGCACCCAAGCAATATTATCAGAGAGCTGGGGTTGCTGTTGTACAGCACCAGGGACTGGTAACCAAGCCATGGAGATGAACATGTTTTAATAATAATTATGAACCATCACCTAGTAGCCCAGATATTTATTGTGCTTTACAGTCTATGAAACTCTTATATTTATTATATCACTTGGTCAACAAAATGGCTTTGTGAGGTAGGAAAGGTGAGAATTTTGTTCCAGCTTATAGATGAGGAAAGTGAGAATTGTACAGTCTTGGTAAATGGCATCCACCCAGTTGCCTGGAAAGGAAAGCTGGATGGAATCCTTTTACCTCCACCTCCTTCACTTGTCACAGCTCATCTATCGCCAACTCCTGGCCTTCCATTCGCCCAAGCATGCATCAAATTCATCAACTTCTCTGCAAATCCTCTGCCACAGCTCTAGTCAAAACACCATCCACCTTTGTCTGCACCTAGCAGCAATGTCCTCACTGGTCTCTCCTTGCTCCTCCCTGCTTTCTGACACTCAAATCTGATCTCAGGTCCTTCGGTGGTATGGCACTGACTTCAATGTGAATCCAGATTCTCAGACCCGACCTTGTCTACCCTTTCCACAGCCTCTGCTCTCCGGCTCACTCTCCTCACCGTGTCTCTTTCCTTTGCTCTCTGTGCTCTGACTACACTGGGCTTCTTTCAGTTCTCAAACTTCCTATGCTCTCTTTTGCCTTTGGGACTTCTCATATGCCTTTCTCTCTGCTGGAGTATCTTTCCAGTCCCCTCCCCTTCTTGTTCCCATTTCTCTTTGCCATTGTTTTCCCATCCTATTTTAATGTTCTGTCTCCATGATTTTCCTTCCACAAGACTGGAATCTACATAGCCCAAGCCTTACTCAGTGTCTGACACACATTTAAAGAAATGCTCAATAGCATATCTTTCAGTAAATAAGTGAATGAATAAAGTCTCACCAAGGGCCTCAAGGCCAGGTCTTTACACCATCAGTTTAAGTTTTGCCCCAACAAACATCTATTTATGTAGAATAACTGTGAATACTACCTCTCTGTTTAAAATGGTCTGGTCACCTGATGGTGCATAAATGCAGTCAAATTTTCCGTCTTTTTTCCCAGACAGAGCAGCTGCCCTGAAGCCTGAGTCCTTTCCTGCCTTACTGAAATTGGTCTATATTCTGGGAAAGAACTGGGTAGCCCCCTTCCCTCTTTTCCTTGAGCCAAGAACCAGTGTAAAGGAGCCAGCTTTGTGGCCATTCCTCAAAGCAAAGTTTCTCTCAGCAAAGGGCTCTCCGAATCTTAAGAGTACTTAGAACCCCAAGATTCCTGGGCCATGGATGTTTCCTGACTCACTGTCGCTCTGAAATGTGTGAGTCTGGCACATCTAGAGGGGTTTATCAGTTGCAGCAGCACTGAGGCATTAAGCCATGGATGTTCTGGAGAGCCAGTTGGCTGAGCAGGGCGGACCCCAGCTCCCGGGCTATTGCACGTGACAGAAGAGTAGACACTCTTCTGGCAGAGCAGCCAGAGGCTCTGATTCAAAGCTGAGTCTATCTAGGAGCATGTAAGCCATCTGCCAGAGTGGTCACACGGCAGAATCTAGTCAAAAACATTTCATTTTAATCCAGGGTTTCTCACCTTCAGCACTATCACTATTGTGAACCAGATCATTCTTTCTTGTGGGGGCTATCCTGCACATCATAGGATCTTTAACAGCACCCTTGGCCTCCACTGGCTAGACAACAGTAGAGGCCCTGCCCCATTCACTGCCTAGATGTGACAACCAAAAGTGTCTCCAAACGTTGCCAGATTCCCTTGGGAGAAAGGGGGTGAAAAGCTCCTCTGGTTGAGAACCGCTGGGTTAATAGCACCTAGCACCTTGGGTAAGTTACATACGTGCTTCCTATCTAATTATCCTCATCAGCCAGAACAAAAGAAAATAAAAACAAGCACCAAAAAGTGTTTCTAATATTTTTGTGGGGAATAATGGAAATTATTATTATATGTGTAGAATCTAGCCTAGTGCTGGTGCAAGGTAGGTGCTCAGAAACATGGCTGAGTGAACAAATTCTTGCCCGTGAAAGAGAATAACTGACTTCAGGAGAGGGAGTGCAGCCAGAGTTGACTCCTCTGACCTCATTACTGGGAACTAGCTGCCCCCAAGTCACATCGGCAACCAGAGCAACTCTAGTGAAGGGGGAATGCGAGAACACTTTGCTAAAGCCAAAGAGCCTCACAAACGCAATTTCTTTCACAACACAGTCACATCTCTTCTAGGGTGTTCTGTCCACTTGGCCTCTGGAAGAGCTCATTTTCATGTGTGTGGCATATGTCGGGGGGTGCTGCTACGGACAGTGTTTTAGGAGAAGCTGTCCCAGGAATCTTGGGAGGTCAGTGGTGGGCCTCAGCTGAGAAAGGCAGCAGCATTTGCAAGGAGACAGCATATGCCACACAGAAAAGGTAAAGGGGAGGGGTTCTCAGAAGGAGGCACCGGTAGGTATCAGTCTCAGTCCTGCTACTTGCGGTGTGAGCTTTGGCACTTAACCACTCTGAGCTTCACTTGCTTCGTCACAGGGATATTGTAAGGAGTGAATGGAATAATGTATGCAAGTCACTAGGCATAGTGCTAGAACACAGCCATCACACAATAAATGTAAGCATTGATAATATCAACGATTACTGTATTAACTTTTCCTATTAATGGTTTTATTGTCATTATCACTATCATAATTATTGGCCAGAGTAGTTTAAAAAGCATTGCCTCTATTAATGTCAGATCTGCCATCTCCTGGAGCCAGCAGGCGACCAGTCTATCTGCTGGATTCAGAAGGCTGGGGAGCAGGCAGATCATTTTAGCCCACTTCTCTCTGAAAAGGGCTTGAGGCCCATTTTGGGTAAAAATCTGTGTAGTCTCTGGGTCCAGGACATCAAAGTGGCTTTATCTCTCTTGGCAGGTTAGGCTACTAGGAATACTGAACATTTTTCTGTCACACCCATTGCCAAGGGTGCAATTTGGGAAAACAAATAGGGATTTACAGATAGCAACTTTCCTCTTCTTCTATTGATAGCCTGAGATAATTCATGGCTAGGTTTGGACAAATGCAAAAATGTGCATTTAGTTTGAATTTGGATTCATTCCTCATGAATATTAGTCATCGCAGGCTAAAATACAAGCACTTCTCTGTTTCAACAGATGGGAGGATGTACTGTGAAATCATACTATAGCACAGGAGGAAAACAAGAAGGTTGAAGTTAAATTTAAGGGTAAGTCTTGGCACAGAGGGACAAAGTGTGCATCCCCATATATTTCCCTACAAAATAAGGAATGTGCTTTTAGGTGGGGCTTACATTCTTGCAAAAACAATGAGATGGGAACATTTATAAACCATGTTTGCTTGATGATTTAACTCACCGTAGGAATATTTTTTGCAGATAACTCTTCATGCAGAATTTCCTTTTACTGAACGCTTAAATCAGAGACTGGCTCAGCATATGTCATGTTCCATTGTCGATGATGAAAATATGATTCTGAGGCTCTGCTGCCTTCTGCATCCTCTTTTGTCTGTTGACATTCCACTGCTTCCTGAGGCCTTTGCTGGTGGTTCCTACAACACGGCAGAGAATAGACCAATGTTGGACCAGCTGGTGACGCTGGAGGGGAGAAGGAGAAAGAAGTGGGAGATAAATAGAAGAAAAAGGAGGAGAAAGAAAGTAAAAAATAAGAAAAGAATTGGAGCAGAAGAACTTCAAATTAATGCTTTTTTATTCATCACACCAATTAATGGAACTCAACAGAAAAATGACCTTGTTAATTGCTCTGAGTTTTTGTTGAACACCAACTACACATCAGATACTGTTACTGGGACCAGGGAAAAATTAAACATTTACCATAATGAACCCAGAATCCATCTAACATCAAATAGATAAATAGAGAACTCTAGTTCTCAATTTTTATTCTGAAAATTTCTGTTAACTGATGTACCAACATGCCAATAGCACAATAGTTCTTGCTCTACAAGAATAAACAAAAAGCCATACAATATCTTGAAGTTCTTTCTATGTCAAGGAAAGAATGGCATTCATCACAGTTCAGTTTCATGTATTTTTGTGAACACTAGAATTCACTAAACACAAGCAAAGCCTATGCATGATATCTAATAGATCTTTTAATATATGTTATTGATTATCGAGGGATTCTCATTGACTTCTCAATGACCAACTCAATTTCTCAGAAGAAGTTCTAGCTAAATAGAGGACACGCAGAAAACTTTTATAGAGTAAGAAAAATATAGAACTTCAGCTTTGCAAGAGATTTTGGAGGTCATTTTGTCTGAAAACATCTCCATTTATAAATAAGAAAGGGAAGGAACAGAAAGAATTACTGAAGGACCATTTCACTGCAAATTTTTCTAAAAAGTAGATCAGACACAGCTAAATTTTGTTGAGTACCTCTTATGTACCTGATTTGGTTGCAGGCATCTTAATCCATATAATCTCTTTTAATCTCTCCTAGGACAATATGAGACACATATACTGTTCCATATTTAACATATGAGGAAAGAGAGTTCAAAGAAGGTAAAAACCTCATCCTGGATCACACAATCTCCTGACTTGAAACAGAAGTTTCACTCAGTGTTATTGTAGTTAATAAAGAGGGAAGAAATTATACCACCCACATTCTCAAAGTTTCCTGTACATTTAATAAAGTATCTTGTATGAAGCTATTTTGTCATTGACTGCTTATGCTATAGAATTCAAGAAGAAGTTTCCATTTATGTAATATTTTAGGTGAAAATTAAAACATAAAATTGTATTTATTTATCAGGTTTCCAGAATCTATGTCAGATCATCATCTAGATTAAATATGTATTTCTTAGTTATTTTTAAAAGAAGGAGGTTTTAAACTGTTAAAAGTAAATTTTGGATAGCAAACGCAAAAAAAAAGTTGTCAGAGAAAACAGGAGTGAAAACAGGGTCACTTTTATAGCCTATTAAAGAGGAAACTCAAAGTTTTTATAGCCCCAGCTTACCTCTAACTGGGTGAGTAATTAGGGCTGATAACATGGTCTTACTGTGCAGATGTCTGTGTGGAATAAAACAATTGTGCCCAGATGACTTGTCCCCCACTGCAAAGCAGCTGTCTCAAAACTACTAGAGGTGAAATTATAAATATAGGTTGCTGCTTCCCAATCTCAGAGATTTTGAATTCAGCAAGTTTGGAAGAACACAGAAATCTTTATTTTGTTTAAAGCGCCCTCCAATGATGCTGTTGTTCAGCCATGTAAAACCACCAATCGTGTTAAGAATATTTTATTTGTACCAGATACTCCATTCAACTCTGAGCTTTGTTATCTTAGTTGTGGAAGTGTAGGCAAATCAAGTAAAATTTCTGAGCTTTATATTCCTGCTGTAGATGGAGGTGAAATTAAACCTCGATGGTGTCTTGGCCACGGCACAGGATAGTGATTCACTTGAGATCATGTGTGAGAAGGATGTTAAGCTCTAAAGTTGTTTTAAAAATTCCATAACTTGAGTTGCCATCATGGCAGCTCTGTGGGTAAGAGACAGGTTTTGTATCTGCTCCATGTCCAGGCACTGTCCTTGGTACTTTACCTTCTTATCCATCAATTTTCATGATTGCCTGGACCAGTCTGGTAGAGAACTTTCTCCCTGTTGAATCTGTCAGCCTTCCAAGTGCCTTGTCCCAATCTATTAGGCCTGTTTTACTTTCCCTTGACTACTGACTTTGGATCCAGTTCTTGTGCTTTGTTTCCCTCCTTGAATATGGTACTTGGCTTGGTTATACCCACATTCCTCTCCCTTCACTCTGCATCACGCAAAGAAGGATCAGCTCCTCTCTCTTTCAAGGGATTCCTAGAATTCCATTTTAGACATTAGTCCTGGGATTCTGGTTTCTTGGAATGGACCATCAGACAACAACCATTCTGCAAGTTAAACATTATGATCCACTTTTTTACAGATGAGAAAAATGAGCCTCCATGATAAGTAATGTGCCCACGTTCCACCACTAGTAAATAGCAGAAACGGGATTTGCAGCCAGGGACTCTGTAACCCTGAAACCTGAGATCATTCTACTAAATCATTCTAACTCCCAAGGTTTCCAGGAAAATGGGAACTTAGAAGGAGAAAGGACAAGACAGAAACTTTCATCTTTTTTACTTTGCCAGATATTTTGCTCTATTTCATAAGTAGATTGATTATACTATGCCTTTGAGAATTTGTCCCCACTTTGAGGAGCGCTTTTGATTGCTCAGATCAATGTCCCCACTCCTCTGGCCTATGTGCTCTCTGTTCCTGAAGGGAAGGACCATTTCTTTTTCTGGCTACTATCTACATCATAGACCATGGAGTTCTTTTAGGATGACTTTCATGTGCTTATACTCAGTGCTCTACCTGGTTCTTTTCCCAAATCAATCTTTGGCTACTTTCCTAAAAGCAAGCATGCTCCAAGCTCAGGAATCTGAAGAAAAACCCTAAAGGTAACAGGACATTTTCTTTCAATTTATATCAGTTTTTATACTGACTGTGTGATTATTTCATTATATCTGTCACTCACATGTGCCTACTCATTTATCGACAAAGCCTAGGAGAGAGCCTGGAATAAAATTCTAGTTCAATTAATAAATGAATGAATGTATTCTTTTAAGTTTCTATACCAACAATGAAATTATTAGGGGAGTTGAATTTGGAGAGCATACTGGAAAACTATTTGTCATATGATCGTGCTTGAGTAGAGAAATCCCATGATTTCCAGGTGCAATCCATCTGTTATCCAACCAAACAAAACATATTTTTGGGCACCTACTGTGCACTAGGTTCTCAACTCCATGTTAAAGGGAGGCAGAGTTGAGCAAATAAGGTACTTACAGGGCACAGACATCGTTGGTTATGAAACTGGATTGCACCTAAAGGCCACCAACCTCATAAGCAGAACACTAGGTCTCAGAAAGCAGACAGGGAAAAAAACAAACTCTTGCAATTAAAAGACCCAAGGGAGCAGAAATCAATGTCAACTAGAGTGGCCAGTGAAGGCTTTGCTCTCAGAAAGAATGGGCAAAGACTTGGCGATAGGACTACGCCTGGCACATACCAGGATAAGAAGACCTGTCTTGCCTATATGATGAGAACTGGTGAAAATGAAATAAAACAAATATGCAAGATACTCTTTGGGACATAGACTGAGGCTGGATTTTGAAAGGTGGGGTTTCTTTTGTTTGTTTTTTTGTGCAGGGCTAAAGTCATGGCCTTTGGAACGCAAACTCAATTATTCCTTCCCTTAAGAAGGAGAAGGCCTCATTGGCTCAGTGCAGTGAGGACAAAGCTGATTTAGCCATACATAATTTTCCCTATGTTTAAAAGGCCTCCATGTTTCTTTCGACTCCTTAAATCTTCAAAGGGAGGGGAAAAAGCATGTTTAGTTGCTTAATATTTCTGTATATCTTAAAGGACCCTTCATATTTATCATCAGAGACACACCAAAGCACATTACAAGTAATGTAAGCCAGCTGGTGTTTTGCAGGCCAAAGTCAGTTGATGGTTTAATAGTAAAAACCATCTTTTTGTTAACATTTTTCTGGAGCACATCACCAAAGAATGCATGGCCCCTTTCTACATTTTTCAGAAAAGAACTGTCTTGTTAGCTCTTTTCTTAGGTTTCCGAATACATTGCTTCTAGGATATGAAGGTTTAGTCTGGTTTCTTTTGAGAACTCTTTCAGAGCTGTCTAAACCATCTTTGAATATGAGTGAAATTCTTTTAAATGTAGATTTGTGTATTCTCCAAATTTACCCATTTAGATCATGTCTAATAAATTTGCATAAGGTTAGCAAAATCTTCTTGTCTGGGACATAAACTAACCTGTGTCCTCTGCGCTGGTCCAAGCACTGGTGATTAAAAGTAACTCAGAATAGCTATTAGAGATTTGGCATATTCACTCTTCCCTTCCATCTTAAAACTCTGATTGAATCACAACTTATGGGTCTCAACATGAAATTCAAGAAAGGCCATTGAAATTCAAAGGAGAGGCCAAAGGGTAAATGCTCTGTGCATCCAGCCACTTCCCAATTTCCTGAGTACTCCATACTCCTTCCTAATCCATACCTTTACACTTATTGTCCTGAATATAATTCAAGGCCCATCCCAAAGACTGTCTCCTCCAGGGAGCCTATTCTGTCCCGCTTCACCTCTTCCCTCTACCCTACTCCAGGCTAATTTATAGGGACTTGCTCTGAGTTTTATTATATCATATTATCAAACTGTGAGCTGCTTACAGGCAAGGACTATACCTGTGATTAAACTGTGATTAATTGCTCCATAATGTAGCCCTGTAACCATCATGGTAGCATAGTTTTGAAATGTCATGTTGTCTATGCTTGGTACATCGTGGAAGTTATTACGTTCTTGAATACAGAAAGATGGGTAAAGAAGCAGCTCTAGATACAGTTTTTGTTAGATACAGAAGTCTATCTTTGGAGCAAGATATTGTACAATAGAAACAATATTAATATCATGTACAGCGCAGTTGGGTAGGGCATGTCAAACTTTCCCAGCAACGTTCTTCTGGAGCAAGCCTTAGATCGAAAAT